AACACAACCCACTGAAAGAAACAAAACAGGAGTAAGTTATTCCCTTTGACTGCAGTAACAGAGGAATTGTGAGCTATATGGAACCTGGAATCCTAGCCAGGTCAGCTTGGAAGTGCAAAGAGGGGCAAGGGTGGGGTGGGGTGGAGGAGAAGCACAGTGTGGGACACAACTCTGGTATTGCAGTGAAGCCCTGTTTGGAGCATTTCTGCATTTGGATCCCCAGTTTTCAGGATCTGATTTTCTTTCTCCACAGGGATCAGCAGAGTGAGGCAGATCTTCAAAGGATCCCAGGTGAGAGGAAATTTCTTGGGCACAGAGAAATGGCAGCCAAAACCGAATCTCTCAGGATAATAACCATGCCACTCCAGACAACCTGTCTACTGATAGTTCATCCCGATACGTTTTGCACACATTTAGTATGGAGGTTATACAACATCCAGTGTTTATTGAATGTTCATTCTGATTTATTTATTGGGAGGTTATATGACATTGTGCCAAACAATTGTTGTCCCACACTTTCCAGTTCATTTTCCTTCCACTTTTCTCATCGCAAAAAGTCTGGGAGGTGGTTTTTTGTGTTTTTCTTCCAAGCAGATTTGTTGCTCAAGGGCACCAAATCCCCTTTAATTGCACAACCTGAGGATGCCTCCAGGCTGTTGCTATTTTGCGGGAATGATTCGAGCACATACTGGAAATGTCGTCTTCCCCAATCAGAGTGGATTGAAGTGTTTTGTCACCATAGTGCAACAACACTTTTTTCGAAAAAAAAGAATAGATTTTTGTAGTTAGGAAAGCATTGGGGAAATGCAATGGAAAGTAGGGAATGTACAAATGATTAAAAGGAAGATGTGTAAACACTCCGCAAATGAATCAGAATGAATGTTCAATAAAGACCGGGTGTAGGCGGCATGCTCACTAACCTGTTTGTAGCACAAAAATGTAGTTTTTCTCAATTTGGAATAATTCATGCTTGTCCTCAACTTGCTCATTTCAATCTAGATTGATTTTAGATGTCCACAAGGGTGGGTTCAGTTTCCTGAGCAATGTATTATAATCTCCGCCCTCCCCACACCCCAATTATGTTATCCATGCCTTTTCCTTGCTGCACATGCCTAGGTAAATCTTGATATACACCCACCCTCAATGTATTTGGGCAAGTGTGGATACAAACTGCCCCTATCAATTGCCTACATTTGTTTTCATCTATTTTCAAATGGACACCCTGTGGGATAATGCAAAATCAATCTGTAACGAGCTTTCATTGCCGGAGTGGAACCAGTTTCTCAAGAAGCACTTTTAAGGAGCAAAAAAACATGCAGTAGATCTAGATTATGTGTAGGGTATGTCGGTGGGTGGGTGGGGGAACAACTCAGTCTCAACAGATTCTAGAATAAAATGCCGTGTGTATGCAGCCATAGTTCTAATTGCTTGCACAAGCTTTGGGGTGAATCTTGTACTCAGTGGAGGAACACTGAATTTGCCAGTATGCAATAGAAGCCCACTCTTCGAAATAGTGATAGTCTGGAATTGGCCCCGGGATACAAACAGGGAAGGACTAAAAGTCAGTGGTAGAATCTAGGCTCTGCATAAAGAAGGTCCAGGTTCAATCGCTGGCATCTCAAGCTAAAAGAGTACAACCAAACTGCGGGAAAAAATAGTGATCTCTGTGTTGCTAGGAGACTGCATATTTCTACAGAGCAGGGGTGAGGAACTTCTGGCCTTCCAGATGTTGCTGGTCTCCTGTGCCCTTCAGCCTCAGCTAGCATGGTCAGGGATTATAGGAGCTGTAGTCCAGCAACATATGGAGGGCCGCAGGTTCCCCAATGCCCTGCAAAAGTAGGGAATATACTGAAATACACTGTAGGAGACGCTTCAATCCATGGCCATACCCTTTTCTCTCCACAGATCTCTGGGCTGAGGCAGAGGAAGCAAGCAAAGATGACAGCTTGCATGATAAAGACGACTTTTATGACTGAAGTGAGAAGAGCAGAAAAAACAAGATAGAAAAATAATAGTAATAGCCCAAGAGTTCAGCTCCCTGCACCGTAAGAACGGATGAACTGTCCTGTTGGATGAGGCCAAGGGCTCATCTAGTCCATTTCCCAGGGAAATGATATATAATGAATTGAAAAAGATCTTCAAAATAACTTTCATTTTTAAAAACTCCAGAAGCTTTTCTTTTGGGAATTATAGGGACAGAACTACCTAAATTGTATAGAAATTTATTTATGTATGTTACTACAGCAGCAAGAATGTTACTTGCCCCAAAATGGAAAGAAGCAGAAGTCCCAGTAAAGGAAGAATGGATTCAAAAACTTATGGAATGTGCAGAAATGGCTAAACTTACCAGAAGAATAAGAAATCAAGATAACAAACTTTTTATGAAAGAATGGAAATGGTTTATTGAATATTTACAGATAAATTGTAAACAGATTGAAACATTAGCAGGATTATTGTAATAACCTGCAGTTTTATAAGACTATATATTTACTTTAGATAATTAAATGAATTTTGATATGCAGAAGGTATTAAAAAAATTAATTTAAGGAACCGCAGAAAGAGGGGGAAGGAAATCAAAATTTGAAATGTTAAATGGATTGGAAAAATAATGAAATGTATATATTTGAAAAGTATAAATAAAAAACTAAAAAAAGGACTCATTTAGTCCAGCCTCCTGTTTTCACAGTTTTTGCTTTTATTTAATACTTATCGACAAAAAACAATGCAAATATATATATAACTGGTCAGTATCAAAAACTTTTGTTCTAGGTACAATGCTTAAGTTTTCTTCATTAGAGGACCCTGGAAACATCTGTAAAAAGTTGCATGTCTCTGTACCCCTCAAGAGGCAAACAATATTCCCGTCACCACATATAAAAAACAAAGTCAGAAGCGGAGAAGATGAATCCAGATGTTTCAGTCTTTCCCCCAAATCTGCATGTAAACTGTGGATGGATGTCTCTGAAAATTAGTCATATCTATATAAGTAATAAAGCTAATTCCCAAATGGCACAAAAAGTCTGGTGACCTTTTATTATGCTGATTTGGCAAGTGGTTTTCTCCATTATCGCTGTGCTCCACAAATAATTCCAGCATAACTCAGAAGCAGGAATCTCAAGCCCCGTGGGCTGAATGTGACCCATTTAGCCTCTCCCTCAAGCCTCTCAGAACTCTCCCCACACCAAACCCTGCACCGGACCTACTTTGCACACCCAAGTACTTTTGTCTGGCTGAAATGTGTCCTCTTGCTTTTTCTGGATCAGGGATAGAGAGGTGTGTGTGAGTAGGGGTAAAAACTAGCCATCTGGTACAAAAGAAAAATTTCTATTCACTGTTTTGCCAACTTTTGCCTTCCACCATTGGAATGCGGCCTCCAGAGGGTTGCTCAGAAAAGAGTGTGGCCCTCAGAATGAAAACATGGTCCCCATGCCACCTGTTATGTACATAGGCAAACCGAATGGTTATGTAGGCAAAACAGCACTTTCTGTGCACAAGAGGGGGCTTGGGGAAGCTGCAGGATTTACAAGAGTAATTAGAAACATTAGAAAAAAAACCTTAAGGGGACAAAAATCCCCCAAACAACCCAATGAGGACTGAGCATAGTCAGTGGTCGTGGAAGGCTGGCTGGCTGTAGAAAAAGAATAAAAAGAGACCCCTGAAGAGAGTTGGCGGGAATGGAATAGAAAAGGGCATGACTGGCTGGAACCCTGAATAGGAGTGGCCTGTGCTGCAACATTTTGTTGTATATCCTTTAGTTTGAACCTACGTAGAAGCCATTGCCCTCCTTTGTGGAAGTGGGAGTTTCCTATAGAAATCAATGGAGAAATTCAAGATTTTGATGTAGCTTTGTGACTTAGCATGTCCACCCTCAAACAAACGGCAGCCGCAAAGAATGCATTTCATGCTTTTTCTAACTCTGGCCTTATTTTGTGTAAAGAAAAAAGAAAAAAGGATAACTTATAAAAAAAACCTTTTGATCATTTTAATAATAGCCTTACCAATGCAAATTCAATATGCTGTCCCTTTGTTACAGGATGGAAGGCTGAGGTTGACAGGTGCATTATACTTCTAGCAGAGGTTGTGGGTCAGGCTGAGGCTGAGAGGGTAGCTTCCAATAACCTTATGGTGTCGTCCGGTGCTGTTAGACCCATTCTCCACATTGTAGTTGTGGAATTCTCTCCTGCCAAGCACAATTGTTGTTGTTGTTGTTGTTTTTGGGGGGTGTCATGTGCTGAAGACTTTACCCTGGCCTTTGACACCTGATATTTTAGGACCTGCCTTGTTCTGTTGATTGTAGTGTGGTTTAGCTGTTTTTTTATGCTGTATTTTTAAAGTTGCGAAGGGTGGCTGAGAAAACGAATACATAAGAAATAATAATAATAATTGATGGGCTGAGACAGCAGCGTACAGTAACCCCACTGTCACCCCTCTCCTCTTACATGGTTTTGGGGAGGCAGTGATGAGAGAGATAGTAGTTTAGGACAGCCCTGCAATGTGGTCCACAGCAGATCAGAAGAAGCGCTGAGGCTCATTGGTTGGATTGCCAGCCAAACAAAATCCCTCATATGAAAACCCCTTGAGAAGATTGCAAAAAACCGCCAACAACAATCCATATATCCCCCTCCTGGAACTTCTCCAGGGTAAACCCAGTACAGTACTCAATTGCATGTAGAAGTTGCATGTTCTGTCATTGACTTGCATGTAGATGAACTGAAATTTACCGTATATCTCTCTGCTTATCTATCCATCTATCTAACTAACTAACTAACTATATTCAGTGGAGCTTACTTCTGAGTAAAAAATTGCATCTTTTGCTCTTTTTTTGGCGGGACAAGGGGGACGCATTTGCTGCTATGCCTAATCGCAGTTGCGTTAAAATCTCAACTGATTTCAACTATTTTCTGCTCTGACACTTGCAAGTCGAGTTGTGCGCCTCTTTAATTTCTTAGCTCTGTGCTGAGGACTGCGGTTGCTATGGGGACGGACGCCATTTTGGGCAGCTTGGTGGCGAGGGAAGGGTGGGGGAAAGGAGAAGCGTTCCCAGAATTCAGCGCGCCTTTGACCTCCGTGACCCAAGATGGCTGCGCCCAGGGCCGCGGAGGAGACGCTTTGAGTGAGTGGAAGGTAAGAGGGGTCAGTGGCTAAAAAGATGCGGGGAGGTTGAACTTGGGGTGACCAACGGGGAGAGTGGGCCTGGAAGTTGCCTTAGACCGTTCGCCCATGCAGTCTAGCGTTGTCTGCACTGACTGGCAGCGGCTATGCAGGGATTGGAGCTTCTGCACGCAGAGACTGTGCTTTGCCACTGAGCTATGGCGCTTCCCCCTAAGAGCAAATTTAGGGGTTTAAATAGACATGCAGGTGAAGCTGCCTCATACAAAGGCCACACCAGACTTTTAAAGCACTGTGACAGCCCTTTAAGAGTCATTGGAACTGGAGTCTTGTAAGGGTGCTGAGAGTTGTTGGAAGGCCTCTGTTCCCCTCGTAGGGCTACAATTGTCAGAGTTCCCTGGGAATAAGAATGGATGGTTAAATACTATATAGAAGGAGTGCATCCCCAGCTGCACTTTAGCCCATGTTTGTGAAGCAGAAGCTGGTTGTTGCTCTGGCTTAATAGCACCTAAATGCAAAGAGGTTACTTTTCTAAATGTGGTATCACTAGAATGATTTCTCACCCCTGACCTTCAGCCTTTCCCTTCCTGAAACTGAGCCAGGGCCCCCGGGTCCCATAGTTCCTCCTAAAAAGCACCCTATTCCTTCAGCTATATTTTCAGAAAATATATCTAGCAGATTCTCAAAGCCCAGCTGCAGCTCTTGTCTCTCCTGATGTCCTCTTTGGGCTCCAGGAAGGGTCTCCTCGTGAGCCATGAGGACTCATGAGCCATCTCCTGCAATTTTCAGGTTAGAATGTCACAGGCTAGCCAGTTGCACATAAGTGGGGGGGACACACCTTAAACCTAGGTTACGGTTGCCACAACAGAATGTCTGTCCGCCAGGGTGTTGGACTAGATGACTCCTGGGGTCCCTTCTAACACTGCGATTCCATGATCTCAATTAAATTGCTGTACTGTGGCTTGCTCTTGCAACAATTCACTTGTCCCAGTATGCAAGAAGGAGAAACACACACAATGGAAATGGAAATAGAAATTAACTATGGATTAAGGCAGAGGTTTACAAACTGTGGTTGCCAACCTGGCACCCAGAAATCTCCATGGAGTCGTAATTGGACCTGCACCAGTAGCAAAATGTGCCTGGCGCCTGGGGAATTTTGATCAATGCCTGTGGTTGGATTTCCAATGTAACAATAGGCTCCAATAGGCTCTGGCTCCACCTCCTGTCGGCCTGCTTTCTGCTTTCAGTCGCAAGGGACACCAGCTACCCCAACTTGTCATTGCATTTCTTCCAGTTTGGGTTAAAGATTACTGATGCTTTAGAGCTGTGGTTCCCAACCCTTTTTTTGGTCATGCCCCACCTAAGCATCTCTAAAATCCTGATGCCCTCCCCACTGTGACATATAATTCTTGTTATTCAAAAAGTGAACTCCTGTTCACGTGTAGGAAGCTTAAAAGGCCATTCACTGTTAATAATTCATTCTTGATTTGCCCCCCTTAAAAATCAAATTGCCCCCCTGTGGTCCGTGTGCCCCACGTTGGGAACCACGGCTTTAGAGTATTGATTCTTATGTGCTGGTTTTTAGATACTTTGATTATTTCGTCTTTCCCCAGCTTGGAGCCTTCCAGATTCCTGTGGGTATAGGACGGTATACAAATTTAATAAATAATAAAAATAAATAGTAACAATTCCCATCATTCCTGACCTTGGGTCATTCCGACTGGGGCTAATGGAAGTTGTAGTCCAAAACATTTGGAGGGCACCAGGTTGGGGAAGATTATCTTATCCTGAGTTGTATATAGTTTTAAGCCATTGTTACTTCTACTTAGTTGGAAATTAATAATAATAATAATAATAATAATAATAATAATAATAATAATAATTTATTATTTATACCTCGCCCATCTGGCTGAGTTTCCCCAGCCACTCTGGGCGGCTCCCAATCAGTGTTAAAAACAGTACAGCGTTACATATTAAAAACTTCCCTGAAAAGGGCTGCCTTAAGATGTCTTCTGAATGTCAGGTAATTATTTATCTCTTTGACATCTGATGGGAGGGCGTTCCACAGGGCGGGCACCACTACCGAGAAGGCCCTCTGTCTGGTTCCCTGTAGCCTCACTTCTTGCAATGAGGGAACTGCCAGAAGGCCCTCAGCGCTGGATCTCAGTGTCCGGGCTGAACGATGGGGGTGGAGACGCTCCTTCAGGTATACAGGTTTTGGTTTTATATGTGTTTTTTTGTAATCTGTCCAAAGATGACATTGTCTAGAAATCTTTTTAATAATATTAAATTTGACTTTTTCTAATTCAGATCTAGCCAGAACTTGAATTACAATGTCGAAGATATCCCGTGCTGCTTCTAAAGCAGTACAAAAGGTGGACCCTGGAAATTTGATCCGGTCGATCATCCGAGCTGGGCAGGCTGTTCCTGGACCACCCTTAGGACCTATCCTTGGGCAGGTATGCATGGGAGAGGGTTAGGAGGAAGGGAGGTCTAGCAGAATTGAAGTGTGAGGCTAGATCACTAAGGGAGTTTCATTTGCAAGTGGGCCACAATTTGGGACATAAATTGGCTCCTTTTAAAAAACAATCGTTTTTGCTGTTTTCTTCTCTGCCTTTGATTAAAATCACTGGTATTGATCATAATGAAAATAATGAAGGTGTAGCTAACTGGCTGGAAGGTGGCAATTGAGTGCTTGGGCTTGGATCAACTGAGCAGTTATACTGTTTGGCTTGGAAACCCACTCCCTAGTCCTTCGACTGCATGAACTTGTTGGGATTATTCTGAACCTTCTCCCCCCCCATCTCCCCCCCCATCTGTACCATGGCAGTGAGGCATATATGTATACGCGCACAAAATTAGTAGCTAAGTCTTGAAACGCTGGGCAATGTGTTTTGGAGGCCCTGCTGTTAAACCCCAGATGTGTGTAGAAGTTGATTGCCCTTGTTCACTGGTAAGAGTGGGCAGGGGGGAAGAACACTCTCGACATGCTTAGAGGCACTCTCTTCTTTATTGCTTCACGTTCTGGAGCTGAACCCCCAGCTCAGATACAATCCTTATCCGATCGTAAGCAAAATAGAGTGAATCACAGCCACGTAGTTTGGTTAGTCATTTTGCTAAGCTGCTTTTCTTACGATAAGGGACATGGAAGTGGTGATTTCCTTTAAGAAACTGTTTTGGCAATTTTGAGAATAGAAGATAGAAATGAAGCTGGCTGCAAGAGCGAAAAAACTTTCCCACTCCCTCGGCAGCAGGATTGTGTCTCCCAGACCTCCTTTGTAGTTTGAAGAAGCACACGTTGTGAGATTTGATTTCTAAGGACACATGTGACAAAACTTAACTCTGCTGTTTCTGAGCTTATGGGGTGCAGATCAATTACTGTAACAAAATTAGGAACCCAAGACATAAGAGCAGATCCTAGTTCTTCTGTGCCCATTATGCTCAGGTGACTGAAGGTGCCTCCAGATGTGGATGATTTAGCAGCAGCTGATCATTGCCGTTCTGCTTTAAGCCAGAACCTGAACAGTATCTAATTCCAGACTTCTGGAATCCAAACAAAATACTGTAGTCCAAGCGAGCAGTCCTTGTATCCCAGTCCCATATATTACGGAGGAGGCCATTTTTATTGGGGCCATGGTGTGTGTATTGGGTCGAGGGGAGGTTAAGTATTCCCACCCCACCATTAGCTGCACTCTCCTACTGCAAAGTAGGGGAGTGGGGACTGATACAAAGGCAATAATATTTGGAGAGGGAGGAGCTAAAGTGACGGCAGTGATTCTTAGACAGGAGAGGCAGACCATAGAGAAGGACATTTCTCGAGCACAATCTGTACAGGGCATTATTGACCTGTCTAGGCTGCAACAGCTGGGTTATCTACACCTGAGAAAATAGTGTGTAGCATCCATTTTTATGTTTAAATGGGATTTTCTGAGCTGGGGTGGAGGGGAGGAAGTTGAATAGGGAAAACATGAGATGAGGGTTGTTTTGGTTGTGTAGATGCCCTGCAAAAAGTGTGTCAATGAAGTGTGGCTTTCTCACAGCAAATGTAGAGGCAGCCTCCCCCTATGCAGGTTCTGTTGTTACACTCTTGCTGATACACCCAGTGCCCTTTTGGTCCTCTGTTCCCAGTGAGGGCACCCAAGAGAAAAGTGAGGCTGTTTGCCAGACAGCATCACAGAAAAGATATCTCACAGTCCGCCCCAGACAGACTTGAGCTGTATGTGCTGACCTGTTCTGAGTCCTCTGGAAGTGGAGGGACCAGTGGCGGCTGGTGGCGCTCTTGGGGAAAGTTGAGTAGTGTGCCTGCAGTGCTCTGACCCTTGGCTTTTAAGGTGGCAGTGTCTGTGGAGCTGGTGACTGGTGGTTTGGACGCAGCAGTGGAACTGTTCTTCTGTAGCCTGCGGCTGTCTGTAGGAGACTTCAGCCATCGCTTGCGGTGGTTCACCTGGGCTGTGTCCATAGGGCATGCCAGCCGTGGCCTGAGCACACTTGCAAACCCTGTCAGGTGTCAGGTGCCCATGGTGTGTTTCATCTGTGTTTCTACGGAGCTGCTCATCCATTGGCTGAGTATGTCCAAGGCCCCGGCTGCCTCGGATGTGGCTGTGGCCTGTTTCCCTTCTGCCCCGAGTGCTTCTGTGGTGCTGGAGGGCAGCGCAACACTTTAGCGCAATGGCCAAGAAGTTCTTCCCCATGAAGATGGAGGAGATGCGCTGGTCATGGCAGAGGAGCAACAGCCCTCCGCGGATGAAGATGGTGGCCACATTGACGCTGGCCAGACTCAGGAGTGGGTAGAGCGCGCCAGGGCGAGGGCCCTGCACCCCCAGCTCATTTAGCGAGACGCAAGGGAGAATCAGCAGGAGGCCATAGCAGTAGAAGAAGGTCAGGCCCTCAGCCCACAGGGGGAGCACCCGCCGCTGCGGCTCCCACAGGCTGGCCTGGATCTCCAGCACATCCAGCAGGTCCAACACCACCCAAAAGAGGCGCCCGCGCAGTTCGTCTTTCTTCCGGAAGCTGGCGGAGGCCTGGGCCACCAGCTCAGTGGCTCCAAGGACCGTGTAAAGGGCAGGGATGCAGATGGAGAGCAGGAGGGTCAGGGTGCGCCGGGCCAGCGGGTCAGGCGCCCGCCCCTCGGTTGCGTAGTGCTGGTAGACGAAGTAGAGCTTGATCTCCAGCGCGAAGGCAAAGAGAAACCACAGCACCATGGCGTAGCCTCGCTGGGCCGGCCTCACCTCGCTGCCTACCCACATGGTTGCGTAGCGCAGCACAAGCAAAAAGAAGAGGTCCCCAGCTAGGGCAAGGGCGCCGACTCCCAGGCGCCGGGCCCCTGTGCTCTGCTCCACCAGGTAGACATCCATCGCCCCCATGGTGCAGACGATGACCACAGCTGCCACACAGGTGTGTGGGATGTTGGGGGCCTGCTGCTCCATGGTGCCTTTGGTGGGGGGAGAAAGAGGAGAGCATACAATGAAGGAAATTAAGAAGGAAGGGGGGGGCATTTTCTGAGGATCTTGCTTTCCCATCTGAAAGGAGTGAGAAAGAGAGAGCTCTGGAACATTGGAAACTGTCTTGTAATGAGTCAGACCCTGTGATCCCATCTAGCTGGTATTGTGTGCACTGACTGGCAGTGGCATTCCAGCATTTCAGACAGGATTCTCTCCCAGCCCTGCTGGAGAAGCTGGGGATCAATCCTGGGACCTTTTGCATGCAAAGCAAACTGAGCTTCAATGCTTCCAAAACTATGCATTTAATCAAATAAATGGGGGGGGGGACTTGGTTGTGGCCTATTTTTAATTAATTAATTAAATTTCTATTTTATTTTTAATTTGCCTATCAGTAAATATTTCCTTGGTGGCATATAAGCAAAACAATGCTAAAAAAAAAAGGAAAAAGGAAAATAACACAGTTAAAAATGAACAGCAGTTTTGTTAACGATAGAGATAGCGTAAAAAGCTCAAATGGAAAACACTATTAAAAAGCCTCTAGGTGAATTAAAAAAAAGGTATTTGCAACCACTGAAAAGGCTATAGAGGAGGCATACATGAGAAGAGGCAAATCTTCTAGGGATGTGTAGGTAAAACCAGCGTCATCAGGGCTTGCAGGGGCCTTCTGGCTTCAGTGTCGCGGTCAGGCTGGGGCTGTGGGTGGTTGCTGAAGCCTATTCACATGAGCTGCAAAGAACAACAATGGGGGTAAGGGGCATATAAATAAATTGCTTTGCTCCACTTACTTTGTGACTCGTGCCAGCCTGTAGAAAAGGTCACTCTTGCTTCTGCGCAGTTGAGCTGCCTAGTTGGGGGTGCCTTCTTCATGCCCTGTCAGTATCCGTTATCGGAAGGCTGAAGCAACTGCCTTTGTCTTAAAACGCCAGATTGCTGATCCCATCTGATCACTGGAAACTCCATGACTGTGGACTTTGAAGCCGGGTTTGGGGGGGGGGGGACCTGCAAAGACCCATTGGTTTAAAACCTCCAATCGCCTTTTCCCTGGTCAGTTCTCCTGAAAGCCCACCTCTTCTTTTGCTTCATCCCAAACCAGACCTAAGAGATTTGGGCTTTGAACCAGGAAGCGCCTCCTTCAAAACACGTCTGGACCAAGAACTTCCTAGGCGGCCTTAGCGAAGCCCCTCTCAGTCTCCCCACCACCACCTGTCTGCAATATGAGGATAAGAATGCAGGCCTACTTTTCAGGGTTGTTGCAAGGATTAAATGCAACCAGGCAATGTGTGTAACGCCCTTTGGGTATTCTTTAAAAAGCTATATAATATGTGCTGCCAACATTAATAGAGTCTGAGCTCGTGACACTTGAGAGGGGGCCATTTCGATTATGCCTCCCCCTTCTCCTCTGAAGGTCTCCCTGCAATCATTAACATCCTTACGCCATCAGGTAAAAATTAACCTTTTCTCCGAGACATTTGATGGGTTTTGAAGATTTTGCTGTCTATTTATGGTATGCGTTTTGCTGCTGTTTTATTGGTCTGTTTTATAGATTGTTGTAATTGCACTGTAATGCATTCTTCTTTTTTATTTTATGGTTAATGTATGTTATGCTCTTCAAGTTTTTGCAAGTGGCTTGGATAGTCTTTCTGTGGCAAGCGGCTAGTATGAATTCAGAAACAACAATAGAGTATTGTGGCACGTTAAACACTAACAAATTTATGATTGCATTAACTTTCATGGACTGGAGTTTGTGAAAACCTTTGCTGTAATAAATTTGTTGGGTCTCTTAAGGTGCCACAATACTTGTTGGTTTTGCTGCAACAGGCTGACACAGTCTCTTTGACTAGCATTAGGTACAACCTGTTAATTCTGCATTTGGGTAAAGGTGCGTTTTTCTTTAGTCCTGAATCTACTGCTAATCAATTTTACTGGATCATCCCAGGTTTTAATGTGAAACAGGCAAATTCTGCTCCACCAACTTTCTACTGCACATGAGTCACAGTTTTTAAAAACCTCAGCTCACCTTTCTCTTAACCATCTCTTTTTTTCAAACTAAAAAGCCTCAAATGTTGTAACATCTCCTCCTAGTGCAGTTGCTGTCCAGCTCCCTGATAATTTTTGTTGCCCTTGTTTTCTGCACCTTTCCTAGCTCTGCATTATCCCTTTTTTGTTCCCCGTGTGGCTGCACCATGGATTTCTGTAAAGGCATTGCAGTGCAATCAGTCTTACTTCCAGCCCTTTCCCTAATACAGTAATCACAGCCGTGGGACTTGCCTCTTTCAGTACTGGCATGAAGCATTATTTATGAATTAATATTGATAATGAACCCTTCCTTAACTTTATTGTCACTTGGATGCCCGCATGGAGATTTTGTGCTGAGCACATCCAAAGGGCTTAAATTTGAGCCAGCAGTCAAGCTGGCTGAAGTTGCAATTAAGGGGAGGCTGCCCCTGCCCATGTGCAGAGTATGCGTTTAGACATCTAGGACGAGAGTGGGGGAGCATTTCCAGGTCAGAGTGCATAGCATCCAGACAGCCTGAGCACCCTGCCCCCAGCACATGGCCCACAAATCTTCTCCACAGGGTTACAGCCACCACATAGATCTTCACAGCACAGCAATGACTCAGTATGGACAGTTTTATGCTAACTCTGGACCAGCGCAGAAGTGGAGCAACAGAAGTAGATGCACAAAACTAAACCTCTCTGCAGTCAGACAAACCTATCCACTACAACCCCAAGATCTTATTCTGGATCAGTTCAGACACAGTTCCCTGTCCATTCCCCCCACCCCCCAGAAATCCCCACAAAACTGAGACATTCCTCCCTCCCACCCCTGAATCCTCAGCCTTCTTGAAAGGACAAGGCACTGGGATTTGGGACCCCCTCTGCCTGCTCAACTTGCTCAGACCAAGGTTTTCAGGAGCATGAAGGCTGTAGGAAGAGGCTTCAGAACAAGCAGGAGTGCAGAAGCCAAGGCCTGCATGGAGGCACCATTTGCCCAGTGAGGAGAGAGAGAGCGCTGCTCTGTACATCCTCAGAGGCACCCTTTCTGCTGCTCATATATCCTCAGGTGCATACCAGACAGGACTGGGAGGGAATGGGGTCTTCCCCAGTTGTGAGTGAAATTCCCCCACCCAAGGAGTTGGGAACCACTTTGTGTACAGAGATAACAGGGAGGTATCCTGATTCTTGGATTTATTTGATTTTTATTAGATGGGGGAGCCTTGTAGAAAGTGTGCATGTGTGTCTGTTTCTGTGTGTTTGTCTGTGCATTATGCCAGAGGGATTTCCGTCCTCTAGATTGGGGGTGTCTGTGCCGAGGGGAGGGACCTATTTGCCGGGCAAGTGCATGGTAGCTGTTTGTGTGTGTGTCTGCTTGACTCTGTCCCTGCTCAGCCATCCTGTTTTTGCCGCTGGGAGGGAGGGTGGGCTCTTGAGTCCTTGCCATTCACATCCTCCCCCTCCCCCTCCTCAGCTCTACAGTTGCTCCTTGTGCCAAAGGAAACGCACACAGGATATCCTGGTTCGGCCCCCTCCCCACTGCTCGCGGGCGGGGGTGGGGGATCTCTGGCGCATCCTCCCCTCCTCCCTTCTTCCAATACCTGCAGGGATCCGGCAGCGTGTGCTTCTACCTACCTCTCCCGATGTGCTCAGAGCAAGGCAGAGACAGGGTGAGGCGGTCTGTTCTCCCTCAAGGAGGAGGAGGATCCCTGTGTGTGCGTCTCCCCACCCCCTGCCTGCTCTTGGACGGAGGATTTAAACACACACGTACACACAAAACTCCCTCGATTCGCCTTCGCCGTCATTCAGTTTTTCTTGCCCATTCAAAGGGCCAGGGCTGTGGGACTGTTTCCAAGTGGTTTTCATTTGAGCCTTCATTCAAGTCTGGCACAATTGAAGTAACCGTCAAGGGGCGGGAAGTGCCTCTGAGCATATGCTGAGTGCCTCTTCGGTCCCAGGGGCAGGTGACTCACTCAGCCACGGGTCTGGGTGTGCTCAGCACCCGGGCAGGAGGAAGCCACTTGAGAAAAAGCACCCTCACCCCTCCAACTTTGCCAGCTTGAGTGGGATAGATGTGTAAGAAATGACTCTGTCCATCCAGGATTAAAGGAGGCAGCTGGTTCCAAACCAGAAGGGTTAATTATTATCCAGGCAGCTTGAGACTCAGCACCACTCTTTAGAAATAGACTGCTGTGCTGCACCTCTTTTCTGGAGCAGCGCTGGAGCAGAAACGAACCTACTGTAGAGTGGTGAAATTTGCCTTCCCTCCCCCTCCACTCTTTTCCCTCTGAGCCTGCCCACTATTGGTCACATGGTCCCTGGAAGCATTCCCTTGGGCTGAACAAGGGATTCCTCCACCATCACCCCCACTGTTACCTCCCCCACCAAGCTTAGACAGGGCAGCTATAGGAGAGTTTGCCCCTTCTGGGGAAAGGCTTGGGAGCAGAGTCCTGGAATCCTTCTAGCACCCAGAGAAAGTAAGATTGGGTAGAGACACAATAGTAAAGGTACCCCTGGGCCAGTCTTGACAGACTCTAGGGTTGTGCGCTCATCTCACTCTATAGGCCGGGAGCCAGTGCTGTCCGCAGAAACTTCCGGGTCATGTGGCCAGCGTGACGAAGCTGCTCTGGCGAGCCAGAGCCGCACACGGAAACGCCGTTTAACTTCCCGCTAGAAAGCGGTCCCTATTTATCTACTTGCACCCGGGGGTGCTTTCGAACGGGAGCGCACCCCGCCGCGGGGATTCGAACCGCCGACCATGCGATCGGCAAGTCCTAGGCGCTGAGGTTTTACCCACAGCGCCACCCTCGTCCGAAATAGCTGAAGGGCTGTCACTCACAAGTTGGGACAGACTTGATTCTGGTCCAGACAGCAGGATTAGAAGCAATGGGGGGGGGGAATGCCAGGGAGCAGATTTCAGCTACATGTGATACAGCCTATTCAGTACTGGAACAGGCCACCTGGGGACATGGTGGGCACTTACTTTCCAGGAGGCAATTCAGCTGAAAGTGGATCGCCTTCTCCCAGGAATGCTGTGGTTGCATCCTGAATTCTTCCCGATCCTGCACTGCTCAAAGTGTTGGACTAGCTGCCCTCTGAATTTCCTTCTGAATCTCACTTTGCGTGATTCCTGTCTCTTGTCCCCCTCCAGAGAGGCATCTCCATTGGGCAATTCTGCAAGGATTTCAATGAGTGCACAAAGGACATCAAGGAAGGGATCCCTCTGCCCACACGCATCATTGTACGGGTGAGAAGAACATAATTTACCTATTTATGTAGAGGCAGGGCTGGAAACATCTTGCAGGCGGACGTCTGTCTTGAACCTTGAGTGCCTGTGCCCCAGAGTTCAAATACTTCTGTGTGCAGCTTGCTCTGGAGGATCCCAGGTCGTGTGCCAACCACTTTTGACGTCTTACACGGAGCCAGATCCTTGGCCCATGTTGTATACAGTGACTGGTGGTAGCTCTCCTGAGCCATGTGCTGTACCACTGAGTTGCTGATAGTAATGGATGTGGTAGTCCAGAACATCTGGAGGGCCCCACGCCTGGTTTGCACCTCATTTGTGTGTTTGCGCCTTTGCCAGAGATCTCTGAGGCATGGCTGGCTTAACTCTCTTCCCTTTTCCCTGTACTCCTTTTTGCAGCCTGACCGATCGTACGAGCTTCAGATAAACAAGCCAACAGCCACGTATTTTCTGCTGTCGGCGGCTGGCATAGAAAAGGGAGCAACAAATCCTGGTGAGAGACAGAACCAGGGAGGGAAGCTGCTGGGTCGGGTGAGGGTCCAGAGGCAAAATGCTGGGAGAGAACGGCAGAAAGGAGCCATCTGAGCACCAGAGCTGAGGGCGCGGACCAGCAGCCCACGTCCCAGCAATGTTGTCACCAGTGGCTTCTGGGTTGGGATTGGTTTTTCCACCTGTTTGTCAAGGCTCAAATCACTTAAGTACAGTGGAACCTTGGTTCCCGAATGGCTTAGTTGCCGAACAAATCGGCTCCCTAACGCTGCAAACCCAGAAGTGAGTGTTCCGGTTTGCAAATGTTTTTCGGAAACTCCTGCAGCCAATTGGAAGCCGCGCCTTGGTTTTTGAATGGTTTCGGGAGCCAATTGGACTCCCGGAATAGATTAAGTTTGAGAACCAAGGTACCACTGTATAAGGGACCAAGAAGCCAAAGTACATTTATTATTACAGGATAACCTTTTGGGGACAGTTGATGCACCTGATGAAGTGGGTTCTACTTCATAGAAACCTCTGCCATTAAAAAATAAAGTCTTCTAATGCTCTGCAGGATGTTTTTTCCATTTGTTGTTTTTGCTGTGACAGTCTAGCACAGCCTCTGGAGTTACCACTAAGTACATGCCCCACATTAGAACAGGTTCAAAATTGTGTTGGGGGAAGCATAAGCTTTGGAGTTTGAATATTTTGAGTTCAAATGAATTCCCCCCCCCTCTCTCATGTGCATGATAACACACATGGCTAAAAACGTTGGGAGTTTTGAGGAGTGCTGGGATTTCCCCCTCCTGGGCTTTGGTAGCAAACCTCCAATTGGCTCTTCCTGGCTTTAAGACCCTCTCTATGCTGTGCTCCAGGGCACGAGGTGGCAGGAATGGTGACCCTGAAGCACTTGTACGAAATCGCCCTGGTGAAGTCTCAGGACCCGAACTTCGTGCTCCGTGACACGCCGCTCGAGAAGGTTGTCCTGTCGCTCATGGGAACTGCCCGGTCGCTGGGCATCAAGGTGGTGAAAGAGTAAGTGATTGGTGCCCATGGGAATCAGTGGCTGAAGAGCACAAACCTTGGGAAGAATCCACGAGGCAGCAGACAAGCAGACTCTGGTTGCAGTTTGCATACAATGATAAACCAGGCTTCTCAGTTTATTGAATGAGCAGTGGGCTGGTCCATGTTATCTTCCCAGTTTGCCCCACCCTTGGGGCAGGCAGGAGTAGGAAAATGAGAAGCTTCAGCTTCCTGCTCTGCCCAAAAGAGGGGTCATAGTTTCTTGCTTCCTTAACAGCTTGGGACCAGTTTACTTAAGGGATCTCCCCACCACCCTAGTTGGATCACTTTAATCTGCAGAACTTGCATTTTGACTAAAGCCACACCATCCCAGTCCACATTTGCAGGGATTTGACCCTTTAGTGTGGCAGCACATTTGCTGTGGAACTCTGTGCCTATTGACATTAGGCGGTTGCTCTCACTATATTGTTTTGTTGTTGCTATATTTATAACTCACCTTTTCTCCAAGGACATGGTCCTCGTCCTCCCAGTTTTATCCCCACAACAACCCTGTGAGGTAGGACGGCTGCTGCAAACATTTTCCAGCAAGCCCACCCAGGCATTTTGCTTAGCTACCTCTATTTGTTTCAAAAGGTTTTACTGATTTCATCTGTGTTTGGGTGACGATGGTTTTGTGCCTATTTATTTTTCAATTCGTTTGTGGATTTTGGCCCCTTTTGAGCTACAGTGGGAGAGCTCTCTGATCGATTGGTTGACCAATCTTCTAAAGAAATAGCAAGCCAACAACAAATGGTGGCTTCAGATGGGCTGGTGCTTATTCAGAAAGTATGGATCACGGTCATGTGTTAATGTAGCCTCTGATTCCTGGCCTGTTTTGGGGTTTTTTTTAGGTGGTAGTGGGAAGAGAGAGTATTGTGGGGGGAAACAATAACTGAAATTTGGTGACCCGAGGAGGTGACCCTTGATGCCATCGTAAGGAGAGGCTGTTGGTGGGAACCAGGATACAACGGGCAGCCAAAGTAACTTGCCAGGTGGGATGGAGTTTCCTGGTAGGTGGGTCACTGTTTTTTGCCCAGGAGGGGCGAGGCAGCAGAGAGGTGGACATTGCACTGACCTCCCTGCTGCTTCACCCTTCTCTCTCCCTGTAAGCAACAGTGATCTGCCTCCCAGGAAGCTGGTCGAGCAGCCCTGCCTCACCTGGTGAGCCCCACCTGACCAGCGAACCCTGTGAAGCAGCAGAGAAAGGTGTGGGGCAGAACTGGAAATGGGGCAGATAGGCTTGGCGTGAAGCGAGGAGGTGCAATTCTCTTTCCTCTTCCCTCTCCTCCAGACTCGATGCAGAGGAATACGCTGCTTTCCTGAAGGAGCGTGAAGAGTTATTGGCAGCTCAGGCCGAAGCAAAAGAAGCTGAACTGGCAGCTGCAAAGAAGAAATGAGCACCACCTCCCTCCGTTTGGGCACACTGAGATTCAGATCCCTAGAGTGCTTGGAGTGCGAATGGCGCCGGCTTCTCACTTGTCCCGTCTGCTATGCACTGGGAGCTAAGTCTGCCCAGTGACTGGTTTGGTGATGCCTTGGTGAAGAAGACAGGGAGGAAGGTGAGAGGGCCATGGCCTCTGGTCAGGGCTGCCCTGACACTGGAACTCCCACTGTAATTATTGCCAGTCCCTTTTCAGTAAATGATTTATTTTTTAAAAAATAATCTCACAATTTTCCTCTGTATCTTCGAATGTCTGTGCTGTGTTATCTTTCCGATCTCTGAATCTTTTAAAAAGTTATTTAACAAGACCTATTTCCTGCTTAATCACCAAAAACTCTGAGTAAATACACACTCATTAAAAATAATGAATCTAGGTTCATTTGAAAAACACAAATAAACTTGGAAGATGGAAGGAAACAAGTTGACCTAAAATTTATCAAGAAACGAATCGGAGCAAAAGTCTAAAACAAATATACATAATAAAATAAAATCACATGCTAAAGTTAAAAATCTCGGCGGGCTTGCCTACACAAAAGAGTTTTTAGCAGGTGTTGAAAACAATATAGCAAAGGGGCCTTCCTAATATCAATTGGCAGGGAGTTCCAGAGAGCAGGTGCTGTCATAGTGAGGTGCTGATTCCTTGCAGATGGGGAACGAACATTACACGGCACTTGCAGAAGCGCCAGTTCCACAGGTTGAAATGGTTATGTGGACACATAACTTGTCATTCAAAGAAGGAGTGATACATCAAACATTAAAAAACTTCCCTGAACAGGGCGGCCTTCAGGTGTCTTCTAAAAGTCACATAGTTGTTTATTTCCTTGACATCTGATTGGAGGGCGTTCCACAGGGTGGGTGCCACTACCGAGAAAGCCCTCTTCCTGGTTCCTTATAACCTCACTTTTCGCAGTGAGGAAACCTCCAGAAGGCCCTCGGAGCTGGACCATCACCCCCCAGCTGAACAATAGGGATGGAGATGCTCCTTCATGTATACTGGGCCATTTAGGGCTTTAAAGGTCAGCACCAACATTTTGAATTGTGCTTGGAAACTTTAAGGCTTCTTCCCAAACAAAAGTTACCCTCTCCCCATGGCTGCTCCCCATGGTTTTAAAGGGATTCTCCTAACACTGTTGTAATAAAATTGCGATATAGAGTATCCAGCAGGTGTCAGGGCTGAGCCGTACCTCATCTTTTTTGAGCCCTTTCAATTCACCCATGCCAGCATCCCTCTCACTTCATTCAGGCCTCTGTGGTGATATGTGGAAACTACCACAAATCTCAGCACCTCTCATATTAAAAATAATAATAATGAACAGTGCATTTTTTTAAGGCTCCTGCCCCAGCTCCCCCCCCCCCAATAGGGTGCCATCCTGCAACAGCCACACACATTCGTGTTGTTTTGCATCCAGGAATGATGGGCTGCATCTCCCTCGCTGGTACCCAGAATTTCCATAGCAACGAGTGATACTGCTCAGGGCACCACCTTCATGTTACTAGGGCTGCTTGGGTGGCAGAGGATTGCATCAGAGGGGAAGGAGGGTGTCCGGAAAAAGAGGTGTAGGCATCATTGCTTGGGGCAGTGGATCAAATTGGGGGCTTTCTTGGGGAAATGGGGAGAGGGTCCCATCCACAGGACCCCAACCTCCTGAAATGGAAGACGCTTTGAGCAAAAAGCCTGCAATCTTGCAGAGATTCCCTCTTTCAACTCCCCCCGCATATTAGCCAGTGCACTACAAATGATTTCCCCAACAGATGATGGCAATATACCACCAAGCTCAGCTCAGCCACAAGTTGACCACTGATTCTCAAAATCACACACCCCATCTTCAAAGGCTTTTTGGTTTCTTGTGCACTTTGCCCCATTCCAGTCGCGGAAACCAACCATCTAGAGTGCTAATCATGCCACTACCCCTTTATTCTAAGAAGGTACATCCTTCATAAGCTAAAGTTGGGCTCTCCATTTCCCCACCCCCTCACTCCTGGCTAAACTTTTATACCTTCAGCAACTGTGAGATAGGCAGAAGATTGGTAGGTACTATAGTGGCGACCAGTTTCACCTGTTGAAAGTCTGCCTGTCCTGTCATGAAAAAGGCACAAGAAAGGAGATTCCAGCTAAACAAAAGGGTGAACTTTCTGACAGTAGGAGCTGTTTGACACTGGAATGGACTCCCTTGTTAGGTGGTAGACTCTCCTTCATTGGAGGTTTTTAAGCAAAGGTTGGATGGCCATCTGTCATGGGTGCTTTAGTTGAGATTCCTGTAGCCTTGGCCTCCAAGAATTTGTCTAATCCTCTTTTACATTCTCCAAGTTAGTGGCCTGTGGAAGGGAATTTCACAATTTAGCTGTTCGCCGTGGTTTTGACACATGCCAGTCCAGTCAAAATGACAACCAGTAATACTTCAGAGGTGCTGAAGGGGAAAAAAAGAGGGTGGGAAGATCATGGCAGTTCTTGGAAGAGCTTTCTCACACTAAGAGCTGTTTGGCAGTGGAATAGACTTTTGTGGAAGGTGGTGGACTTGACTTCGTTGAAGGTTTTTAAGCAGAGGTTGGATAGCCATCTGTCAGGGATTTTTTTGCTGCGATTTCTGCATTGCAGGGGGTGGGAGTAGATGACATTTGCGGGTGCCTTCTAGCTCTAAGATTCTATGACTCTACAATTGTTTTTAACTATATCCTGTTCTTCTACCAATAAGTATCCAGAGTGGCTTGCAAAATAGAAGTGGGGACCACCAATAATGAAGGATAAGCATTTTATGAACAGCAGAATGAAAAGAAACAAACCCACCAGGAATTAAAATAATGGAAAACAGTAGCAGAGCCTCTTTCTTCCTGGGACTCTTAAGGAACTGATACTCAGTGGCATACTGGCTCCCACAGTGGGCAATAGTTGAGATTCTGAAAAGGGAATCTCAAATGTCTTATCTTCTTTGGTCCTATGAAGTTTTTGGGCTGGCGACGGGTTCAAACAGCAGGCTTCCAGCGGAGCCTTTCCACTTGCCTCTGTCAGCTCCATTGCAAAGTGAGCAGGACAGGATGCTATTCAAACTTAGGAACACTCCTCCCATCCCTGAGCTGCCACTCAAAAGCTTTCCAGCCCTGGATGCTGGTTGTGTGCTGTTGCTGTGGCAACGCGAGGCAGGCTGCAAGGGGGGGGGCGGTGGAGAGGGAGAGGGAAAGAGCAGAGGCAGTGACGCCAGAGCTTCGGTTGCCTTGTGGTGCTTATTTTCCTTTTCAAGATTTTCAGCCCTTTTCCCTATTTTGGCAGCGAAAGGCAGAATGCAGCTGCGTCAGCTCCTCTCCCCCTCCCGGCACGCAAACTCTCCACCAGATTTAAAGGCGCAGAGCCCAGCAGCCAGCGACCTTCTGATCCAGGCCCCAGGACTGGACACACACACACACAGGCTTCTCTTTCAAATGCCTCTCAACCCACCTGGCTGCCCAGCCATCAGACATGAACACAACACATCATTTCTCTCTGGGGTGCTCTCTGAAAGTGGTCCTCTCTCCATGCGCCTGGCCCATCATCTGATGACTGCAGCATCAAGTAATGAATGGGCATGTTGTTCTATGTATGGATGAGGCACCCACTGATCCAGGCGACGACGTCAAATATAACATTTCTCTGTGGAGTCAGACAGTGGTCCACACACTCAAGAGCCAGTCATCAAGGGTTGACTAACAGAATGGTCAACTTGGGATCTTAACAGGAGAGAGGGAGAGAGGGAGAGTTGCATACAGAAAGAAGCTTTTGTGTTTGAGTTGATGGGGAGGTGGGCAAATATTTTGTGTGTGTGCATGATGCACTCTGGGTGAGACAGAGGTACAGATTTCTGGGAGAGGGGCCACATTTCAACTGCTTCGGATGCAAACAGTCTTGGATTCAGCCCATGCCACTTCCAGTTATGACGGATCAAGCAGCAGATCAAGGGGGCCAACTTGAATTAAATATGGGAAGGGAGGGAGGGCAGGGAAGCCCCACCCTACATAATTGATTAACAAAAAGCTGATGCAGGTGCACCCCCTGGGCCGGTTGTAAGTGCGAAGGCAGGGGCTGTCGGTGGTTGCTCCATTCACCCCAATGGACTGTACTCCACTGGCTAAAACAGAATGTTTATCTCACCCATACGGGGTTGGAGGGCTAAATTTGGCTTGGTGGAGACTCATGGTGTTCAGGCTTTGCTGATTTTTTCATTTTGACTTTTTGTGTCTTTTATCACCTTCCCTTTTATTGCCTAATCCTCCACCTGTGTTCCTCTTCCCTTTTGATTCCCATCCATCTCTTGCTTGCTTCTCCTTTGCCATAGGATGAGGGCATGAAATAGGCAGTAGAGATCTTGGAATATACTAGAAATTTGTTTTATTTTTAACGATATTTTTGTTTTAGTTGGCCATTCTCAGAATTAATAGAAAACAATGTCACATTTCTTTGCAGAACGAAAACATTAACCACGTCTTTGAGGAGAGAGAGAAAAAGATATTGGCTCGCTCAGAGGCTTAGTAAGGGCAGCAGGCCAGGTGGAATGGGTTTGTTGCAGCTTCTTATCAGTCCTTGCTTGCAGTCTTTCACAGTAAAGCTCCAACCAGCCAATTAGGGATGCTGGGAAAGAGAAAATCGAAGAGGTGGCATTGGACAGCAGGCAGCAAGTCTTTTGCACAGCACCTTCTGAACAGGAACAGTCTATCTGAGCAGTGAGAACTTGGAACCATTCGAAGAGGTCAGAAACTGTTCTAAATTTGTTCCAGTGCTGTTGGATAGCTGCAGTTTAAGGAACCTTCCCCTGATGGGGAAGCAACAATTATTGTTGGTTTTGCAGTGATATATGCTATTCCACTCCCAGCCCCAGAACTCAAAATAGAGATATACTCACTTTGCAATGAAACCAGGTTGGAGCAGTCTGTAGTGCAGGGTTGCAGAACCCTTTTAGGACCTGAGGGACACATACCCTTCTTGGCAACCTTCTGGGGGTTGGCTGTGGGCCAATGGTGGGGTCAGATGCAGAAGTAGGAGGAGCAATGGGTATGGATTTTATCTTTGTGCAGTAGGCTACTTTCACTCACATACCTGTCTCTATCCTCCATCCAGGCAGCTATTGCATGGCATAATTATTGCATTTTATGTAAGCCAAGTAGAAGTACAGACGATTAAGTAGTATACAAATTGTGTAAAATAAATAAAAATAAAACCATTGGAGTTCAAGGACACATTCCATCCAGGCAAAAATACTTGGTGTACAAAGCAGGGGCATTGAGTGTGAGATAGCATAAAGCAGTATATCCGTCTTGAGATTTTAAATTTAAAAAAGAAGACTACAAGGGAATAATCTTTTTGACCACCTGCTCTGCATAACAGCTGTGTTATGTATTCCCTGTTAGTGGAAGACTTGCACAGTGAGGAGAAGACTGAGCTGAAAGCTGAGCTTTATTTCCAAAATGCTAGAATTTAAATATCTGAAATTATTATTATTATTATTATTATTATTATTAGTAGTAGTAGTAGTAGTAGTAGTAGTATTTGTTGTTGTTGTCAATGTTGGGATCCATTTATTTATTTTATCTTAACAGGTTCATTCTGAATGGACTCATTCTGCTGAATGTATAGACTTAATGATTTAATAGTTTATCTTCCTATTTGTTTTTCGTCCTAAGACTGTGAGCATGCTGTACCGTAAAAGCACATTTCTGCCCACAAATAATTCTGGGTACTGTAGTTTGTGAGGGGTTGTTTGTGAGGGGTAAACTACAGTGCCCAGAATTCTTTGAGGGAAATAATGTGCTTCGAATGTGTTTTAAAGGGGTTAGCCTAAATCCAGCTGCTTTAGATATCATTTACAAAGGAGAAAAAAGGCAGGATATAAGTCTCTTGAATAACATTTATTCAGGTTTCAAGCCCAAACTCAAACTTCAGTGGAGGCTATTCATACATTCAGCTGCTAGTTGAGTAATCAAAGCTACAGAGCAACAAACTACCTTGAAAGATGGAGAACTCTCCTTCATAGGAATGCTCTATAAGTAAGGTAAGATGTGGGAACCATCCTGAATAAAGAACTGTGGTGGTACTGAAAAAATGGCACCCACTTAATGACCGCCATTTCTACTGTTAGAGGCAAGAAGTGTGACAGTCATTCCCTTTCCCACGATACTCCATTGCATATCCTCTCTTCTTGCTGGTTTTACATTTTCCTCTCTCCTAGAAGTCAGTTATTTGAGCATGCTCAGCTGTTTAGGTTCACCTTCCCTTTTAGATGAGAAAAAAACCTAAAGTCCACAGGCTATAGGACATGTCACAAGACAATGCTGGGCTGTGGCCACCTTCCCTCCAACTTCTGTAGGTGGCGGAGCTCCCAAGAAGGGGACCTGGTTTATCTCAGCACCCAACAGGGAAGGAGGCCGTCTTTCTGATATTTGGACCCGAAGTCATTTAGGCCTTCAAATACTAGCACAAGCACCTTACGTAAGTCAAACCTGCCAGCAAACTGGCAACCCATCTGAACAGTGATGTGACAGGTAGCAGCTGCAACATGCGACGTTCCTCCCTGAGTTGGAAGATGCAGCACCTGTTGGATTTCGGCCTGTCCCGTGCTGATGTTGAAAGCTACCACAGCCCAGCGGGGGGGGGGGGGGGAGTCGGTCTCTGTGCAAAATTCTACATCAGTTGAGAGGAGCCGTGTATTTTCAGCACCGGTGGGCACAAATTTTCCCCTCACAGAGAACATACACAGGCCTTGTTGACAGGAACACTGTGAACCCTGGACTCTTTTGGGAGGGGGAGGGCTGAACCCCCCCTCTCCAGGTTTGCTTCCCCCACCCCACCAGATACACATACTTCTTTCTATAAAAAGCTGCTTCTCCCTCCCTCCCTCCCTCTCTTGTGAAGCTCCTTGTCCTTTTTGGTGAAGCCGTGGGTGGGTCACCATGGCAACGGCTGAGATATTTTCGATGAAGACGGGGGATCAAGCTCCAATACGCTCCTCACACTCTTTCTGGCCCCCACCTTGCAAAAGGAGATGGGGGGGGGAGAAGGCAATGAAGTGAGTAGGTGGGATGAAATATAAATAGATTTCAGAACCACAGCAAAGTACAAGGGGGCATGGCAGGGGGGTCTACACAAAAATGGGAACATTTTTGGGCCTTTTCCTGTGGACCATAGGGTTGGTGGGTTATTCCTGTATTTCATCTGACTCAGCTTGTAAGTGCATTTTGATGGTAGGCCGGATTGTGATGATCAGATCTGCATCTGGGGAAATCCAGCCAGATTATTATTATCTTTCATGTGCGAAAGCTAGGCATTGGATCATGGGAAAGAACAGGATTGAACTAAGCATGTGCAGAGTGCCATGCCACCCCCGCCGGTCTCTTCTGAGCAACACTGCCTGGTTTCTACATAGCTGGTATTAGGGAAACAACAACAGCACCTTGCAAGGATTTGAGCCCAAATCATATTGGAAATTAGGCAGTTACGAGGCGGGAGCTAACAGGAGAACTGTCCTGATTTCCGGAAGAGGGTTGGATTGGATAGCCTTACAGTTTCTCCCAATATCAGACACAGATTTCATATGTGGGTCACCAGGCCAGCGGTAGTGAGGGCCAAAGACAGTTCGGCAAAAGGACCCCATGACGATAGCCATTTTCACATCCGGACATACGAGTGGCCCAAATATAGGCCCAGATAATTGGTTTCTCTCTCCTCCTCTGCTTCTCTCTCCAAATGCCTCTGTTGTATGCAATCTCCCTGTTGAAAACATGATTGAAAAACACATATTTTTTTCTAGATGGCTTCCATCCCTCCACTTTACATTATATTTTTTTTGTCCTGGCTAGGTGGAAGAATATAAATAGCTTGTTCTCCTGGGTTATTAAAAGCAACAGATTAAAGGCCGTACCGGTGAGGGGGCTATTTTATGTAACAAGGTGTCAACCCCTGGAATGTTCCTCTTCCTCCTCTATTCCTCTTTGGCCATCACTGAATTTATTATTTCCTTTTCTCCCTGCCCCGCAGCCCGTTTCCTAGATTAAATTAATACACATTGCAGCAGCCAATTCCCTCAGTGCTGGCACAGCGGCGATGATGCTTTGCCAGAATGGATCAGAAGGGCTGTTGCCTCTTCGGTAATAATAATGAAATTAAAATAGGCAGTGAGGAGCACCGTCAAACACATTGGTCCAACAACAGTGAACAATTCAGCAACTGGGATATACGATATAGGATGGAAGCCATGCCTCTTGCTCCCCCCCCCCACACTTTCCCCTGTGCTCCTCCCCAAACAAAGAGGAAATATATCTCAACAAACAAATAAACCGAGAGGACACTTTGCTCAGGTGTCTCTCAAACCTTGAAGCAGCTGTGTAAAATTTGAGATGTGGCAGGATCTGTGCCCCCCCCCCCCGCTTCCAATCACTGCGCAGCAAGGAGGCTGATAACTTGGACACAAAGATATTTTCAGTGTCGGGTTCCCATTGCTAAGGGCTGGTCGAGGGTAAAAGATCAGTGTGGTGTGCTCAATCTTGAGTGGGGACTCCTCCCTGGCAGCAGGGAAAGGGGGACCCAGGTCTTTGCATCTGGTCCTGGGGGCTTTTGCTAGGCCACACCGCTCACTGGCCCTATGTTGCACCCCAAATGTTTGTGCCTGGCTGGCTGGGATGTTCTGAGAACACCTCTTGCTTGTGGGGATGGAGAACAGGGAGGGGCATGTGAGTGGTGTAGAGAAGCCTGCTTTTATATAAAGGTAATATTAGCATTCCTGGCTCTGCCCGCCACTGGCATGTAGGCTTCATAAAGTTGCCCAGTCTGGAAAATGTTCCCTACTCCTGTGCAAAAATCTTCTCCAGTGTTGGACACAGCAGAATGACCACAGTGTAAACGTGGTGCGTGGTGCCAGTTCCATCTTTTTCAGGGCCCTGGAATGAGATGCTTGCCTCTTCTACCTCCTCTCTGCTGTTGCTGCCTGTTCTCTGTCCCATTTCTCGGGGGCCCAATCCACCCTACTTCCCAGGGAGAGAGGGGGTGGGATGGACAGGGGGTGCAGGGGTTACTCCTCCTTAGTTCGCTAACTTGAGAGGGCCAAGTACCAGGGCAAAGGGCCCACTATTGGGATATGGGCGCTAGCAGACGCCTGGTGTTGTCAACCCTTGGTGCCAGCCTTGCCGATGCTACCCTCGCTCTCTCCAGACTCCTACAGACAGGCTGCCAGAAAAAAGCTCAATAACTTTGTCCGGATTTTCACTTTGGGGGATACGGCAACCCTAGCTTATTCATCCTGGTTTCTTTTTCACAAAGGTTAGACGATGCCTGCTCTTTAGTGAGCATTCATCCTGATTTATTGACGGGGCAGTTATGCAACAATGAGCAACCACCCTGCATTTGCTTGCATGGTGGTTACACAGCTTCCTCTTAACTTTTTGTCCATCCACATTTTGCAGTGCATTTCTCTGCCACTTTCCTAACTGCAAAAAGTCTGAGTTGTTGTTGTTTAAAGTAAATTTATTAGGGAGAGAAACAGAGTGCATTAAAGGTAAAGGGACCCCTGACCGTTAGGACCAGTCATGGCCGACTCTGGGGTTGCAGCGCTCATCTCGCATTATTGGCTGAGGGAGCTGGCGTACAGCTTCCGGGTCATGTGGCCAGCATGACTAAGCCACTTCTGGCAAACCAGAGCAGTGCACGGAAATGCCGTTTACCTTCCCGTTGGAGTGGTACCTATTTATCTACTAGCACTTTGATGTGCTTTCAAACTGCTAGGTGGGCAGGGACTGAGCAACAGGAGCTCACTCCATTGCAGGGATTCGAACCGCCGACCTTCTGATCGGCAAGCCCTAGGCTCTGTGGTTTAGAGAAACAGAGTGAATAAATCCACTTTAAATTTACAGTGTGCACTTGATTTCTGCAAAATGTCAACAGTCTGGAGGCAACCCGCCCCCCAAAGGTATTGTCCTATTCAAGTTAACATGCCTGCAGGATTCACACACACACACACACCTTGAATTTTGTATATATTCAAGCCAGCAAAACCACTCAAGGAGGGTGCAAAGTAAGGGGTGTTGAGGGGTGCAGCCTGGGGAGGGAACATGTGGCTGAGCAGATGTAGCCTGTGCAAAGTTTTGAGAGAGAGGTCTAGAGGGCTGCATTTGGCCCTCAGGCTTCGGGGGGGGGCACCCAATTTTAACACCAAATTCACACTCATGATATGTATTCACTCAATCTCTTTTCTTTATCAAAATTCCCCGGGACTGTTGTTTTTTCTTTCAATGTGGTGCTTCTCACCACATATGCAGGAAGTGATTCCACCCTGCTCCCAGCCTGCGGTGATGGGTGGATGTAGGTCTGTGGCTGCAAAGGCCCATGTTGCACTCAAACACCTTCACACTGTGCCTAACCTTTTGGGGGCTCAAGGGTTGCAAGGACCTAGAGGCAGCCCCCTAGCGGCTGCGTGTCAAAATGGGTGTGGCCAAAGAGGGGGGAAATGAAAAAGTATCCCTTTTCTGTACTATACTCAGTTGTATTATTAACCCTTTTAATGATTCACCAAGAAACTTGATTATTAATTCCTCACTTTGTAACTGGTGTAATTCACTAAGCAGCAATAAGAACACATTTTCAAAACCCTTTCCTGCATAACTAAGTTCAATTCCCTTCCATGCTTATAAATCAATTTCTATCCCCCATTTCCCCTCATAATTAATTTCACTGCCTTCCCACTTTTTCCTCTTCCCATCCCCTTTCTGTTAATTAACATCGCCTTCCATTCCCACACATAAGGAAGGCACACAAACACACATACACACACTCAGCAGAGAGATTTCTTTTCTTATTCCCCACTGCACTACGGTAGGAGGCAATTCATTTGCTGTTACTATTAAAGAAGCCCTGGTGCTCTCCAGTAATTTGTCAGCGAAATATTCAGATGCGCAAGGATGCATGGTTCGAACTCTTGGCCTGGGAATCTCTCCTCCTGCCTCCTTTCACAATGTTTGCTTTTGAATTTATTTTAAGTTTTGAACACTCTCCTTGGCTATGCAAGGAGGGGAGCAGCACCACATGTTTTTTTTTTTTAAACCCATTAAGTAATTGCTAAGGAGAATGCATGGCTATGTCTCTAGCCTTGATTTTACATAGAATCATAGAATTGTGCAGTTGTACCGACCCCCAAAGGTTCTCTGATCCAACCCCATGCAATGCAGAAATCGCAGCGAAACAATCCCTGACAGGTGGTCATTCATCCTCATCTTAAAAACCTCAACTGGAGGATCTGGCAGAGGATTAGATAATATGACCCTATGGACCTCCTCTGTCACCGCCTGTGCAATGACTAGCACCAGAATGTGGCTTACCAACAATGGCTCAGTCGCCACCACTGGAGAAAGGAAAGGCCTCTTCTCCTGGCCTCCTAGCAGACTCGCTCTGCCCCTCTCCCCGGGAGAGGAGAACCCCCATGGATTACCTCTCAGACCATTCCAATGGGAGCAGGGCACAAACATTGGCAGGGAAATTATGAGTGGAAACTGCAGTCTTTAGTTCTTTGCTGAAGCACCTGCTTTCAATGCAGACGGTCCTCATCTCCTGTTTTTAAAAATGGTCAGGGAATGGTTGGTGGGGAAGACTTTCTCTTCCTAAGAACCTGGACAGCCGCTGCCAGTCAGAGTAGAAAATACCAAACTGGATCAGACCGTCATCCAGGATGTTGAGGACTAGAAACTTACTTCTTCTTCTTTTGCTTAGGGCAAAGACCATAGCACAGCATACACACAGAGGGGCCCAGGATCGATCCTTGGCATTTCCAGGTAGTGTTGGGAGCGCCTGCTGCCCGAATCCCCCAGGTCCACTGCCAGCCAGTGTTGGCAATACTAAGCTAGATGGACCAATAGCAAGACTTGGCATAAGGCAGCACTTTGGGGTTGCATTACAATCCTATTGTGGGGGGGGCAGTGTCCAGTGCTGGTACAGCATCCCTGGCACTCCTACAGCCAACAGCTTGCACAACTGGGACAACTGCACAACCGACAATGGGAAACACTGGCCTGCGAGCGCTCCAGTTGGAGAACAGCCTTTACCAAAGGTGTCATGGGCTTTGAAGACACTCGAACTCAGGATGCAAGAGAGAAACGTGCTAAGACAAAGGCACGCTTGGCAAATCCACACCGTGATCAACTCCCGCCTGGAAACCTATGTCCCCACTGTAGAAGGATGTGTGGATCCAGAATTGGCCTCCACAGTCACTTACGGACTGACTGTTAAAACCATGTTTATGGAAGACAATCTTACTCGGCTACAAGTGATCACAGAAGAAAGAAGAAGAAAATGATATATGTGCAGCCTGTCAAAGCATGATTTGGCCCTATAGCTCAGTTGGTTAGAGCATGGTGCAGATAACGCCAAGGTTGCAGGTGCAATCCCCTATGGGGCAGCTTAACATTCCCGCATCGCAAAGGGGTTGGAGTAGATGACCCTCAGTGTCCCTTCTGACTTTATGATTCTATGATGTGCAGGCTGCCTTTTACATACATGCTCAGCACCTCTCCCCCCCCCCGCCCCCTGCTTTATAGGTGGCAGGGTATCTGAATACATCTGTGCCATTTCTGTTACAAACAGCTCTCTGAGCCAAAAGATATTTATATCATCCCTTATTGGGGTAAAAGTACAGCTTGGATGCCTCCGCCCCCGCTTTTGCTCTCTCTCTCTCTCCTCCCTCCCTCTCCCCCCACTGCAGTCTTCGCAATGATGAGCGACGCTGTTGG